CTCATTCTGCTCATATCTGTCTGTCAATGTGCTTCTTTCTATATCTTTCTTTATCTCATTCTGCTCATATCTATCTGTCAATGTTCTTTCTTCTTTCTATATCTTTATCTGTCAATGTGCTTCTTCTATATCATTATCTATCTGTCAATGTGCTTCTTTCTATATCTTTATCTCTCTCATTCTGTCTCCTTATCTTTCTATATCTTTATCTTCTTTCTATATCTTTATCTATCAATGCTCTCTCTTTCTTTTCTTTATCTCTTTCTGCTCTTCTATCTGTCAATGTGCTTCTTTCTATATCTTTATCTCTTTCTGCTCATATCTATCTGTCAATGTGCTTCTTTCTATATCTTTATCTCTTTCTGCTCATCTGCCTATATCTTTTCTTTCTGTCAATATCTTTTTCTTCTATATCTTCTATCTCATTCTGCTTTTATCTATCTGTCAATGTATCTATCTGTCAATGTGCTTCTTTCTATATCTTTATCTATCTCATTCTGCTCATATCTATCTGTCAATGTGCTTCTTTCTATATCTTTATCTCTTTCTGCTCATATCTATCTGTCAATGTGCTTCTTTCTATATCTTTATCTCTTTCTGCTCATATCTGTCAATGTGCTTCTTTCTATATCTTTATCTATCTCATTCTGCTCATATCTATCTGTCAATGTGCTTCTTTCTATATCTTTATCTCTTTCTGCTCATATCTGTCAATGTGCTTCTTTCTATATCTTTATCTCTTTCTGCTCATCTGTCTGTCAATTCTTTCTTTATCTTTATCTATCTCATTCTGCTCATATCTATCTGTCAATGTGCTTCTTTCTATATCTTTATCTCTTTCTGCTCATATCTATCTGTCAATGTGCTTCTTTCTATATCTTTATCTCTTTCTGCTCATATCTATCTGTCAATGTGCTTCTTTTCTATATTCTTTATCTATCTCATTCTTCTTTTCCTTTATCTATCTGTCAATCTGTCAATGTGCTTCTTTCTATATCTTTATCTCTTTCTGCTCATATCTATCTGTCAATGTGCTTCTTTCTATATCTTTATCTATCTCATTCTGCTCATATCTATCTGTCAATGTGCTTCTTTATATCTTTATCTCATTCTGCTCATATCTATCTGTCAATGTGCTTCTTTCTATATCTTTATCTATCTCATTCTGCTCATCTATCTGTCAATGTGCTTCTTTCTATATCTTTATCTCTTTCTGCTCATATCTATCTGTCAATGTGCTTCTTTCTATATCTTTTCTTTTCTGCTCATATCTATCTGTCAATGTGCTTCTTTCTATATCTTTATCTATCTCATTCTGCTCATATCTATCTGTCAATGTGCTTCTTTCTATATCTTTATCTCATTCTGCTCATATCTATCTGTCAATGTGCTTCTTTCTATATCTTTATCTCATTCTGCTCATATCTATTCTTTCTGTCATCTCCTTCTGCTCTATCTATCTGTCAATATCTTTATCTATCTCATTCTGCTCATATCTATCTGTCAATGTGCTTCTTTCTATATCTTTATCTCATTCTGCTCATATCTATCTGTCAATGTGCTTCTTTCTATATCTTTATCTCATTCTGCTCATATCTATCTGTCAATGTGCTTCTTTCTATATCTTTATCTCTTTCTGCTCATATCTATCTGTCAATGTGCTTCTTTCTATATCTTTATCTATCTCATTCTGCTCATATCTATCTGTCAATGTGCTTCTTTCTATATCTTTATCTCATTCTGCTCATATCTATCTGTCAATGTGCTTCTTTCTATATCTTTATCTCTTTCTTTCATATCTATCTGTCAATGTGCTTCTTTCTATATCTTTATCTATCTATCTGTCAATGTGCTTCTTTCTATCTTTTATCTCTTTTTCTGCTCATATCTATCTGTCAATGTGCTTCTTTCTATATCTTTATCTATCTCATTCTGCTCATATCTATCTGTCAATGTAGCTTCTTTCTATATCTTTATCTCTTTCTGCTCATTATCTATCTGTCAATGTGCTTCTTTCTATATCTTTATCTCTTTCTGCTCTCATATCTATCTGTCAATGTGCTTCTTTCTATATCTTTATCTCTTTCTGCTCATTATCTGTCAATGTGCTTCTTTCTATATCTTTATCTATCTGTCAATGTGCTTCTTTCTATATCTTTATCTATCTGTTCTTTGCTCATTCTTTCTGTCATATCTATCTGTCAATTCTGCTTCTTTCTATATCTTTATCTATCTTTCAATGCTCATATCTATCTATCTGTCAATGTGCTTTCTTATCTATATCTTTATCTCAATTCTGCTCATTCTCTCTATCTGTCAATGTGCTTCTTTCTATATCTTTATCTCTTTCTGCTCATATCTATCTGTCAATGTGCTTCTTTCTTTCTTTATATCATTCTGCTCATATCTATCTGTCAATGTGCTTCTTTCTATATCTTTATCTATCTGTCATTCTGCTCTTTATCTCTTTCTGCTCATATCTATCTGTCAATGTGCTTCTTTCTATATCTTTATCTATCTCATTCTGCTCATATCTATCTGTCAATGTGCTTCTCCTTTATATCTTTATCTCTTTCTGCTCATATCTATCTGTCAATGTCTTCTATCTTTATCTATGTCTTTATCTCTGTCAATTCTTCTTTCATCTCATTCCGCTCATATCTATCTGTCAATGTGCTTCTTTCTATATCTTTATCTCTTTCTGCTCATATCTATCTGTCAATGTGCTTCTTTCTATATCTTTTATCTCATTCTGCTCATATCTATCTGTCAATGTGCTTCTTTCTATATCTTTATCTCTTTCTCTCATATCTATCTGTCATATTTATATATATCTTTCAATGTGCTTCTTTCTGCTTTATCTATCTGTCAATGTGCTTTCATATCTATCTCATTCTGCTCTATCTATCTGTCAATGTGCTTCTTTCTATATCTTTATCTCATTCTTTCTGCTCATATCTGTCTCAATGTCTATCTTCTTTCTATATCTTTATCTCTTTCTGCTCATATCTATCTGTCAATGTGCTTCTTTCTATATCTTTATCTATCTTTCTGCTCATATCTATCTGTCAATAATGCTTCTTTCTATATCTTTATCTCTTTCTGCTCATATCTGTCAATGTGCTTCTTTCTATATCTTTATCTCTTTCTGCTCATATCTGTCAATGTGCTTCTTTCTATATCTTTATCTATCTCATTCTGCTCATATCTATCTGTCAATGTGCTTTCTTTCTTTATCTTTCTCTCATTCTGCTCATTATCTGTCAATCTTCTTTCTATCTTTATCTCTGTCAATCATCATCTGTTCTTTCTATATCTTTATCTCTTTCTGCTCATATCTATCTGTCAATGTGCTTCTTTCTATATCTTTATCTCATTCTGCTCTATCTGTCAATGTGCTTCTTTCTATATCTTTATCTCATTCTGCTGCTCATATCTATCTGTCAATGTGCTTCTTTTCTATATCTTTATCTCTTTCTGCTCATATCTATCTCTGTCAATGTGCTTCTTTCTATATCTTTATCTATCTGTCAATCTGCTCATATCTTTATCTATCTGTCAATGTGCTTCTTTCCATATCTTTATCTATCTCATTCTATATATCTATCTGTCAATGTGCTTCTTTCTATATCTTTCTTTCATCATTCTGCTCATATCTATCTGTCAATCTAATGCTTCTTTTTCTTTATCTTTATCTCATTCTGCTCATATCTATCTGTCAATGTGCTTCTTTCTATATCTTTATCTCATTCTGCTCAATCTATTTCTGTCATCTATCTGTCAATATCTTCTTTCTATATCTTATCTCATTCTGCTCATATCTATCTGTCAATGTGAGATATCTTTATCTCTTTCTGCTCATATCTATCTTTATCTTTTTTCTTTATCTCATTCTGCTCATATCTAATCTGTCAATGTGCTTCTTTCTATATCTTTATCTCATTCTGCTCATATCTGTCTATATCTTTATCTATCTCATTCTTTTCTATATCTATCTGTCAATGTGCTTCTTTCTATATCTTTATCTCTCATTCTGCTCATCTATCTGTCAATGTGCTTCTTTCTATATCTTTATCTCATTCTGCTCATATCTATCTGTCAATAATGCTTCTTTCTATATCTTTATCTCATTCTGCTCATATCTATCTGTCAATATGCTTCTTTCTATATCTTTATCTCTTTCTGCTCCTATCTATCTGTCAATGTGCTTCTTTCTATATCTTTATCTCTCATTCTGCTCATATCTATCTGTCAATGTGCTTCTTTCCATATCTTTATCTCATTCTGCTCATCTATCTGTCAATGTGCTTCTTTCTATATCTTTATCTCATTCTGCTCATATCTATCTGTCAATGTGCTTCTTTCTATCTTTATCTCTTTCTGCTATCTGTCAATGTGTCTTCTTTCTATATCTTTATCTCATTCTGCTCATATCTATCTGTCAATGTGCTTCTTTCTATATCTTTATCTCTTTCTGCTCATATCTGTCAATGTGCTTCTCTTTCTTTATCTCGTATTCTGCTTTATCTATCTGTCAATGTGCTTCTTTCTATATCTTTATCTATCTCATTCTGCTCATATCTATCTGTCAATGTGCTTCTTTCTATATCTTTATCTCTCATTCTGCTCATATCTATCTGTCAATGTGTTCTTTCTATATCTTTATCTATCTCATATCTGCTCATTCTTTCTATCTTTATCAATCTGCTTCTTTCTATATCTTTATCTCTGACAATTTCTTTTCTATATCTTTTTATCTCATTCTGCTCATCTATCTGTCAATGTATTCTTTCTATATCTTTATCTATCTGTCAATCTGCTTCTTTCTATATCTTTATCTCATTCTGCTCATATCTATCTGTCAATGTGCTTCTTTCTATATCTTTATTATCTCATTCTGCTCATATCTATCTGTCAATGTGCTTCTTTCTATATCTTTATCTCTTTTCTCTCTCTATTGTCAATGTGCTTCTTTCTATATCTTTCTGCTCCATCTGTCAATGTCTTCTTTCTATATCTTTTATCTCATTCTGCTCATATCTATCTGTCAATGTGCTTCTTTTCTATATCTTTATCTATCTGTCAATGTGCTTCTTTCTATATCTTTATCTATCTCATTCTGCTCATATCTATCTGTCAATTCTGCTCTTCTTTCTATCAATCTTTATCTATCTCATTCTGCTCATATCTATCTGTCAATGTGCTTCTTTCTATATCTTTCTATCTCATTCTGCTCATATCTATCTGTCAATGTGCTTCTTTCTATATCTTTATCTCATTCTGCTGCTCATATCTATCTGTCAATGTATCTTTATCTCACTTTCTATATCTTTTTCTATCTCATTCTGTCTTCTTTATATCTTTATCTATCTGTCAATGTGCTTCTTTCTATATCTTTATCTCTTTCTGCTCATATCTATCTGTCAATGTCTTCTTTCTATATCTTTATCTCTTCAAATCTGTGTCTTCTTTCTATATCTTTATCTGTCAATGTCTTTCTTTCTATATCTTTATCTATCTCAAACTGCTCATATCTATCTCATTCTGCTCACATCTATCTTCTTTCTATATCTTTATCTCATTTCTGCTCATATCTATCTGTCAAGGTACTTCTTTCTATATCTTTTATCTCTTTCTGCTATATCTATCTGTCAATGTACTTCTTTCTATATCTTTATCTATCTCATTCTGCTCATATCTATCTATCAATCAATGCTTCTTTCTATATCTTTATCTTATCTCATTCTGCTCATATCTATCTGTCAATGTGCTTCTTTCTATATCTTTATTCTGCTATATCTATCTCTGCTCTTTATATATCTGTCAATCTGCTCAATTCTTTCTATATCTTTATCTGTCTCATTCTGCTCATATCTATCTGTCAATGTGCTTCTTTCTATATCTTTATCTCATTTCTGCTCATATCTATCTGTCAATATCTATTCTTTATCTATAATGTGCTTTTTCTATATCTTTATCTCTTTCTGCTCATATCTATCTGTCAATGTCCTTCTTTCTATATCTTTATCTCTTTCTGCTCATATCTATCTGTCAATGTGCTTCTTTCTATATCTTTATCTATCTCATTCTGCTCATATCTATCTGTCAATGTGCTTCTTTTATATCTTTATCTCCATTCTGCTCATTATCTCTATCTGTCAATGTGCTTCTTTCTATATCTTTATCTCATTCTGCTCATATCTATCTGTCAATGTGCTTCTTTCTATATCTTTTCTCTCATTCTGCTCATATCTATCTGTCAATGTGCTTCTTTCTATATCTTTATCTCTTCTGCTCATATCTATCTGTCAATGTGCTTCTTTCTATATCTTTATCTTTCTGCTCATATCTGCTTCTTTCTATATCTTTTTCTATCTTTCAATGTATTCTTTCTATATCTTTATCTATCTGTCAATGTGCTTCTTTCTATATCTTTATCTATCTCATTCTGCTTATCTATCTCATTCTGCTCTTCTATCTGTCAATGTGCTTCTTTCTATATCTTTTATCTCATTCTGCTCATATCTATCTGTCAATGTGCTTCTTTCTATATCTTTATCTATCTCATTCTGCTCATATCTATCTGTCAATGTACTTCTTTCTATATCTTTATCTCATTCTGCTCATATCTATCTGTCAATGTGCTTCTTTTGTATATCTTTATCTCTTTCTTCTGCTCATATCTATCTGTCAATGTCTTCTTTCTATATCTTTATCTATCTGTCAATGCTTCTTTCTATATCTTTATCTCATTCTGCTCATATCTATCTGTCAATGTGCTTCTTTCTATATCTTTATCTCTTTCTGCTCATATCTATCTGTCAATGTGCTTCTTTCTATATCTTTATCTATCTGTCATTCTGCTTTCTATATCTTTTATCTATCTGTCAATGTGCTTCTTTCTATATCTTTATCTATTCTGCTCATTCTATCTGCTCTTCTTTCTATATCTTTATCTATCTGTCTCATGTGCTTCTTTCTATATCTTTATCTATCTCATTCTGCTCATATCTATCTGTCAATGTGCTTCTTTCTATATCTTTATCTCTCATTCTGCTCATATCTATCTGTCAATGTGCTTCTTTCTATATCTTTATCTCTCATTCTGCATTCTGTCAATCATCTTTATCTATCTGTCAATCTGCTTCTTTCTATATCTTTATCTCATTCTGCTCATATCTATCTGTCAATGTGTTGCTTTTTTCTATCTTTATCTCTTTTCTGCTCCTTTATCTATCTGTCAATGTGCTTCTTTCTATATCTTTCATCTATCTCATTCTGCAATCTTCTTTCCTTTATATCTATCTGTCAATGTGCTTCTTTCTATATCTTTATCTATCTATTCTCTTTATCTGTCAATGTTCTTCTTTCTATATCTTTATCTCATTCTGCTCATATCTATCTGTCAATGTGCTTCTTTCTATATCTTTATCTATCTCATTCTGCTCATATCTATCTGTCAATGTGCTTCTTTCTATATCTTTATCTCATTCTGCTCATATCTATCTGTCAATGTGCTTCTTTCTATATCTTTATCTCTTTCTGCTCATATCTATCTGTCAATGCTTCTTTCTATTCTATCTATCTCATTCTATCATATCTGTCTGTGTGCTTCTTTCTATATCTTTATCTATCTCATTCTGCTCATATCTATCTGTCAATGCTTCTTTCTATATCTTCTTTATCTCATTCTGCTCATATCTATCTGTCAATGTGCTTCTTTCTTCTTTATCTATCTCATTCTTCATATCTATCTGTCAATTGCTTCTTTCTATATCTTTATCTCATTCTGCTCATATCTATCTGTCAATGTGCTTCTTTCTATATCTTTATCTCTTTCTGCTCATATCTATCTGTCAATGTGCTTCTTTCTATATCTTTATCTCATTCTGCTCATATCTATCTGTCAATGTGCTTCTTTCTATATCTTTATCTATCTCATTCTGCTCATATCTATCTGTCAATGTTCTTTCTATATCTTTATCTCATTCTGCTCATATCTATCTGTCAATGTACTTCTTTCTATATCTTTATCTATCTCATTCTGCTCCATATCTATCTGTCAATGTGCTTCTTTCTATATCTTTATCTCATTCTGCTCATATCTATCTATCTTTCTATATCTTTTTCTATATCTTTCTATCTCATTCTGCTCATATCTATCTGTCAATGTCCTTCTTTCTATATCTTTTATCTCTTTCTGCTCATATCTATCTGTCAATGTGCTTCTTTCTATATCTTTATCTATCTCATTCTGCTCATATCTATCTGTCAATGCTTCTTTCTATATCTTTATCTCATTCTGCTCATATCTATCTGTCCAATGTGCTTCATTCTATATCTTTATCTATCTCATTCTGCTCATATCTATCTCTGTCAATGTGCTTCTTTCTATATCTTTATCTCTCATTCTGCTCATATCTATCTGTCAATGTATTTTCTTTCTATATCTTTATCTCTTCTGCTCATATCTATCTGTCAATGTGCTTCTTTCTATATCTTTATCTATCTGTCAATCAATCTTTCTATATCTTTATCTATCTGTCAATTTCTATATCTTTATCTATCTGTCAATGTGCTTTCTTTTCTATATCTTTATCTATCTCATTCTGCTCATATCTATCTGTCAATGTGCTTCTTTCTATATCTTTATCTCATTCTGCTCATATCTATCTGTCAATGTGCTTCTTTCTATATCTTTATCTATCTCATTCTGCTCATATCTATCTGTCAATGTGCTTCTTTCTATATCTTTATCTCATTCTGCTCATATCTATCTGTCAATGCTTCTTTCTATATCTTTATCTATCTCATTCTGCTCATATCTCTATCTGTCAATGTTTATCTTCTTTCTATATCTTTATCTCTCTCTGCTCTTTATCTATCTGTCAATGTGCTTCTTTCTATATCTTTATCTCATTCTGCTCATATCTATCTGTCAATGTGCTTCTTTCTATATCTTTATCTCATTCTGCTCATATCTATATGTGCTATCTTTATCTCATTCTGCTCATATCTATCTGTCAATGTGCTTCATTCTATATCTTTATCTCATTCTGCTCATATCTATCTGTCACTGTGCTTCTTTCTATATCTTTATCTATCTCATTCTGCTCATATCTATCTGTCAATGTGCTTCTTTCTATATCTTTATCTCTTTCTGCTCATATCTGTCAATGTGCTTCTTTCTATATCTTTATCTATCTGTCAATGTGCTTCTTTCTATATCTTTATCTATCTGTCAATGTGCTTCTTTCTATATCTTTATCTATCTGTCAATGTGCTTCTTTCTATATCTTTATCTATCTCATTCTGCTCATATCTATCTGTCAATGTGCTTCTTTCTATATCTTTATCTATCTCATTCTGCTCATATCTATCTGTCAATGTGCTTCTTTCTATATCTTTATCTCTTTCTGCTCATATCTATCTGTCAATGTGCTTCTTTCTATATCTTTATCTATCTGTCAATGTGCTTCTTTCTATATCTTTATCTATCTCATTCTGCTCATATCTATCTGTCAATGTGCTTCTTTCTATATCTTTATCTCATTCTGCTCATATCTATCTGTCAATGTGCTTCTTTCTATATCTTTATCTCATTCTGCTCATATCTATCTGTCAATGTGCTTCTTTCTATATCTTTATCTCATTCTGCTCATATCTATCTGTCAATGTGCTTCTTTCTATATCTTTATCTATCTGTCAATGTGCTTCTTTCTATATCTTTATCTATCTGTCAATGTGCTTCTTTCTATATCTTTATCTATCTGTCAATGTGCTTCTTTCTATATCTTTATCTATCTCATTCTGCTCATATCTATCTGTCAATGTGCTTCTTTCTATATCTTTATCTCATTCTGCTCATATCTATCTGTCAATGTGCTTCTTTCTATATCTTTATCGATCTCATTCTGCTCATATCTATCTGTCAATGTGCTTCTTTCTATATCTTTATCTATCTCATTCTGCTCATATCTATCTGTCAATGTGCTTCTTTCTATATCTTTATCTCATTCTGCTCATATCTATCTGTCAATGTGCTTCTTTCTATATCTTTATCTATCTCATTCTGCTCATATCTATCTGTCAATGTGCTTCTTTCTATATCTTTATCTCTTTCTGCTCATATCTGTCAATGTGCTTCTTTCTATATATTTATCTATCTGTCAATGTGCTTCTTTCTATATCTTTATCTCTTTCTGCTCATATCTGTCAATGTGCTTCTTTCTATATCTTTATCTATCTGTCAATGTGCTTCTTTCTATATCTTTATCTATCTCATTCTGCTCATATCTATCTGTCAATGTGCTTCTTTCTATATCTTTATCTCTTTCTGCTCATATCTGTCAATGTGCTTCTTTCTATATCTTTATCTATCTCATTCTGCTCATATCTATCTGTCAATGTGCTTCTTTCTATATCTTTATCTATCTCATTCTGCTCATCTATCTATCAATTTTGTTGCTGTCTTCTATCATTCTGCTTCTGTCCATCTATCTCAGCCTTCTCATATCTCTTATTCTGCTTATATTTATCTGTCAATATGCTGTTTTCTATCTCTTTACCTATCTGATTCTGTTCATATCTATCTATATGTCTATCTTTGATCTTTATTGAAGGCATGTTCATCTACAAGGCACAAACTGCAAGCACACAATGATTAATTTATTTCTTGACAGTGTGTACATTCATATTCTCTTAAATGTTGTGATAACCAAATGCTGTATTTTGACTTTCACTGTGTTTTCTTGACTAAAGAAACCTTTGTAATTCTTCTCTTGTCTCTGCTTCTGTTGAGATAAAAATGTCAAATTTCAAGTGCTATGTTAATTTCACACTACACAATTTTCTTTAATTATTTGAATGTTTCATAGTCTTTCTGCATTTCATTCAGTTTAAAACTTTTTTTTTCTTTCAGTTGATTTTGCTAATCCAAGAAATAAAAAAAGGTTTTTATTTCATTTAAATTCCATGCAAATGCAAAATTCTGTTTGGGGACCAAGAAGTTTCAGCCTTTAAATTGCAAAACAGTAAGTATGAAACCTAAAATTTATAAAGCTGAATTTTCACAGTATTTTGAGATTAAACTTTTTAATACTCCAGTAAACATGTTCAACAGAAGAGAAATGAAAATATAAATTTTTGTAGACAATACCTATGGGAAAAAGAAAATTGTGAAAAGTGACTGTAATAGAATTCAATTTTTTTGTATCTGTCTATATTTCTGAGATGAGGTATTATGTACATTATTTACATTATTCGGCCTATTGTCCTTATCTTTGTCGCCATATTTATTACGACTTTTTAGCCATTGTATGCTCTGGCCTTCTTCAGGTTGTTGGAATGTCGAACTTAACCCTTTATTTTGCTCACTGGGGTAAACTGTTCTAGTTCCACATGCTATGTAACAGGACCCAAAGAGTGTGAGTTCAATACCTGGTTAAGGCAGTGGAGAACTTTCAGAGGGAAATTAGCAGAAGATAACTGATATCCATTAAACATGGCACAAAGATGAGGACAATAGTCCGAATAATGTAAATAATGTTCAATTTTTTTATTTTAAATGAATATTCTCATTTTTGTGGTTTCTCTCACAGACATTTTTTACAAGGCGCAAGAGTCACTTAAGGTAGAGGTGACTGAAAGGTTGTTGTATTGACCATAAGAGGAGGAAGTAAGAAGGGCAGATTATGTGGATTATTATTTTAACTACCTTCACTCCTCAGAAACGTTTATTGTTTTAAAAAGTGATTAAAATTGGAATAAAACTTAAACATATGGTGAAAGTGAATTTATGTTTTTTTTTTTTGTTCTTGAGAATTTACAATAAAAATATTAAACAATATTTATTTATCAGACTGTTTATTTACAGGAATGGTTTTATTATTTACTAAATTCTAAAAATTAATACAATTAAAACTAATACTATGCAATATTTATCAATTCCCAATTTATAAAGAAATAAATATGAAAGCAATTTTTTATTCGTAAATTTATAAACATTTATTAAAATATGTAAACCAACTATAAGGAAATACTAACGTAACATTTTATAAAGTTTACCTGATGTTTTGTCAACCGTTCCAATGAAATAAACAATCTAATAAATATTGTTTATTATTTTTGTTATCAATTCTCAAGAAGAAAAAAAATGTATGAATTCACTTTCATATATTTAGATTTTATTACAATTCTAAACATTGCTTTTTAAAACGATAAATATTGCTGAGAAAGTGAAGGTAGTTAAAATAACAGTGATGTCAAGGAAAAAGAAGTCCTTTTGACACTCATTTTCTTTGTGAGCACAAAGGTCAGTGTTTGCTGAGAATGCTTTTATTGTTTCAGTTGTCTTTGAGGATTTTATCATGATTATATTTGCACAGAACTTGTTACTTGTCACTATACAAAGACATATGTACAGAAACTTTTATTGCCTAAATGATGTACTAATAGGAAATATCATTTGTTTCTTGTTCCCAAAAGAGCTGTTATATATTTTTGATTAAAAATTCATTATTTTTTTGAATGTTTGTTCATGTTGAAATCAAAAGCTATCAATTTTATTTTAGTGACATGATAAATAATATATATCACAAGTGAAAAGACTAATAAAAAAAAAATGGAAAAGAGAAAGGTTTAATATCATATTTTGGTTTCTACTTTGCTGACGTTAAGGTTAATGAAAAGGTGCCTCAGTTTATTGAAAATGGATGGCAGTATGGTTGAAGAGAAAGATAAAAATGGAAGGGAGGTGAAAAAAGACATAAAATGAACAAAAAATAAAAGAAAGAAAAAATGGATGGAAGTAAAAAAATAAAATGGGTAAAGAAGAAAAAAAAATATTAAAAAGGAAAAAAATGAAAGAATACAGGAAAGGAAAATTAAAAGCAGAGAAAATAAAGCAAATTTCAGAAAAAGAAAAATTAATAAAACTTATTTTCACTTTAACTTCTCTGAAAATATTTATCATTGTAATTTTATAGGGACAATGGAATTGACTCAATTTATTTTTAATATTCATTAAAATTAAAAAATTTTTAGGTGCATGAAGAAAATTTTAGAGATAAATACTTTCATCTATTTTGAATCAAAATGTAAAAGTAGTAATATTTTATGCATTTTCCATGAGACAAAAATGGCTTATAAATAAGCAATGTATATTTATGTTATAAATTTAATGTTAAATTTATTTTATAAAGAGAGAAAAACATTAGTGTTAATAATTAAAGTGTAAAATAAAATGAAATTGATCCACTTAGGACAAATTTATCAAGTGATAGTGGTTTGGGTAGAGTGTTAAAATAATAGTCAAATGACAATTTAATAAAAACTGCATTTGAAAGGAAAAAATATATTGCATATTGCTTATTTTATTTCATCTAGAAAATATCCATGTATTTTAAACTTCTGAATAAGGTTTTTTTTTTATTAGTTCAAACTTTATTTTTATTGGTTACCCAACTTTGAAATAGACTCCTCATTTTTTTAAAATTTTAAACAGTGTGTATTACTGTAAAAACTTTCAAAAGAAAAATATGCTGCTAAGTTTTCTTAAGTGGAGTGTGTGTGCATAGGGTAGGCTGATAGCCATAATAATCAGTTTAAAATAAAAATGGGGTATCTCTTCAAACATGGGTATTCACTAAAAATAATCTTTGAAGTAAAATAAAGGTTTTTCTCAAGATGGAAAAAAAGATTATATATACTAGAAAAACATAGCCTATAATATTAGACAGATATTACTTGATAACACAACAATAGTCACACATACATACAGTAAAAAGAACAATATCACTTGACTGCAACAAATTAATACATAATTTTAAAAGATTTAAAAGTTTATAAATTATTCTAATTAAAATGTAAAGTAAATGAAAACAATTCTTGTAACAATTCTTAATTAGAAAAATTTTTTTTTTCTTACAATAATAGTGCCCATAACATATTTTATTCATAAAAGCGATTAAAAGTATTTCTAATTAAATAATGTCTTAGTTTTATTGCATTTTTTATTTTATGATTCAGAGCAGATTTTATGTAACTGGGGGTCCTGATTCACCAAAAAATTTGATGATTTAATTTCTCCCATTACTTGTCCTTATAATTCATATAAACATTAAGTACTATGAAAAGAATTCTTCAAAATTTCATAAAGTTAACTAAGTGTGGAGTAACAAATGCACAAAAAAAATTTTTTTACCAAGATTTTCTAAAAATGAAACATTTCACAAATAATTTCATTCATTTGTGAATAAGTCTTAAATGTTTCATTAAAATTCAACAACTGATATTTGCAAGAATTTACAACTCAATGTATTTTTCAATCCAAAAAGATAAACTTGGCATACTAATTTCTGATCTCCTGTTGATGCCAGACAAACAAGATTTTTTTTTACCCAAATTTTGAAGATTCTAAAAAGGAACAAAAAAAACCTTTGGTCTTTCCTCTTAATAATATCAAAGATTTTGACAATAAAAATTTGTTTTTATTAAGTTTTGCTTATTTTTTTCATCATATATTCTGTTCTTAGTGAATCTTTGAAGGTACACTGGCATACACACACATATATGTGATAAAATATGGATTAAAATCCAACAGTACATTAGGATAAGGAACAAATATGGTAATATACTTTTCTCCTCCAGATTTCATTTCTGATGAAGCTTCTTTCTTTCTTTTATGTGCCGTGTGCTTTCAGGACATAAGCAATCATGATCCTCCACTTCCCCTATCTCTTTTGGCTCTCAACGAGGTTTTGTGTTTCTGCCCAGCTTCTGGAATGAATCCTTGGCCATCCCAATCCATCTTCGGATCTCAGCATCGTACCTACCGTCCTCTGTTAGAACACTTCCCAGATATTTAAACTTCCACATGTTTGATTTTAGTGTCCCCAATCTGAAAACTGCATTTTGGGCTTGTCCTTTTACTGATGACCATGCATTCTGTGTTCTTGTGGTTATAAATTCAACAACTGATATTTGCAAGAATTTACAACTCAATGTATTTTTCAATCCAAAAAGATAAACTTGGCATACTAATTTCTGATCTCCTGTTGATGCCAGACAAACAAGATTTTTTTTTACCCAAATTTTGAAGATTCTAAAAAGGAACAAAAAAAACCTTTGGTCTTTCCTCTTAATAATATCAAAGATTTTGACAATAAAAATTTGTTTTTATTAAGTTTTGCTTATTTTTTTCATCATATATTCTGTTCTTAGTGAATCTTTGAAGGTACACTGGCATACACACACACATATATGTGATAAAATATGGATTAAAATCCAACAGTACATTAGGATAAGGAACAAATATGGTAATATACTTTTCTCCTCCAGATTTCATTTCTGATGAAGCTTCTTTCTTTCTTTTTATGTGCCGTGTGCTTTCAGGACATAAGCAATCATGATCCTCCACTTCCCCCTATCTCTTTTGGCTCTCAACGAGGTTTTGTGTTTCTGCCCAGCTTCTGGAATGAATCCTTGGCCATCCCAATCCATCTTCGGATCTCAGCATCGTACCTACCGTCCTCTGTTAGAACACTTCCCAGATATTTAAACTTCCACACATGTTTGATTTTAGTGTCCCCAATCTGAAAACTGCATTTTG